TCTGCGGCAAAGACAAAAATGGCAGACAGGATACGCATTATTCTTTTCCCAACGAAATTAGCAGCTGTCTAAAATATATTTAATTGGTTAACAAACCAATTCAGATTCACTCTCTGCAATATCAAAATCATACTTAATAGTAACATTCATTTTCAGTATAATAATATTCCATGAGTAAAAGAAAGGAAATCATTTACAATAAAATAATATATTAATAAATAAAAAAAATATTAATAAAAAACATGATACACAATTCTTCACTGTACTTACAATTGGTTATTGTTCCTCCAAGCGGATCTCCTTTGTAATCGAACTCTATGTCGAGATATTTTCCCTAAAATCAGATTAATGTGAAATAGCACCAACTTCCATTTTAATTTATAGGTGACACAGTAAAGTAAAGTTTTAACTTGGGGTCTTATTACATACGAAATATTTTATTAAAATTATTAAAGTTATATGTAAATTAGAGGCCAGTTAATCATCTAGTATTCTATTGGTCCAAGTGAGTGTTTATCATAGTAATTATTCTGTATGTAGTTATTACGCATTAAATTGAAAAGCTGTCACAAAACTCAAGTAATAAACTAAAAAAATCGATTCATTCTCACCACTAAGTATTGCCACGTATGTGAAATCTGAGTCTCTTGAAATGTTCACGATATCAAAATGTACAATACATTAAAAATGAGTAATTATAAATTAGAGAAATAAAATAAAATACTCTAATTTATGAATCTTAAAAAATTGAAACAACACTCGTACATGATTGGAATACACTTACACAGACAATATACCACTCTGTAAAGACCTCTCACACAAGAAAATCCAAACGGAACATCTGAATTGCAATAACAATTTAAACTTACTTACATCAAACGCATTTTCTGGAACAGTGATTTTAGAAAGAATAATATACTACCTGTGCACTGGAAGAATTACTACTAAAATTGATAGAAAAAACACAATTAAGGGGGCTAAAAATAAATTAATCGAAAACAAAATATATGAAAGTTACAAATAAATTGAGAATAGGACATTATAATTTTGAACAGGTGCAGAATTTTAATTACCTGGGTTCACGGATTAATATTATAAACTCAGTAACTAATGAAATTAAAGCACGTATTGTGAATGGTAATAGATGTTATTATGCCTATCAGAATTTAATGAAGTCTAGAATATTGAGGAGGCAACTTAAACTGATAATCTATAAAGTTCTGATAAGACCAGTAGTCACATATGGATGTGAAGCCTGGACATTAACTAGCTTTGATGAGCAACGACTTAGAATATTTGAACGCAAAATATTACGGAAAATCTATGGTACAATACAGAATAGTGATGGCTCCTGGAGAATT